TTTTCTGATTGAAGAGATCCAAGAAATCGTAGCCCCTCTCCTTCCAGACACCCAATCACCAGGTCTAGAAACTGATTTCGTGGAGCAAGAATGGCCAAAAGCTACTCGCGCTGCATCACTCCGCCCCAAGAAGCCGGGGACGCGTCCACCACTGCCCCTGACTCAGTTCCCCAAGTCCCCTTCAGGCTCAGTCGAAGCTGGCTGAGATAACAGGTTGACAAATCGGGCCCGGGAAACATCTCCCCGCTCCCTGGCGCAAATGCAGCCGGTACCCAAACGCAGGTGGGCAAACGACCCACAACCTGGCAAGAACTTTAGCTATTTCGCCACCACCGGGGCGCACGGCCTCAACTTCTCTCTGCTGCGCTCCCGAGAAGGAAAGCGGGAAGTCGGGATGGTGGGGGCACCCCACAAGCCTCCCCTGTTATCTGGGGTGCGCCCCCCACAAGGGCACGCCCCGTCTTACCTGGTCTGACGGCTTTGAAGGTGACGGCCTCCTTGCAACTGTCGATGACCCCCAGCACGTCATAGCGGGGCAGACCGGACACCCGGATCCCCTGCACCTCCAGAAGCAGCTCTCCTTCGCTCAGCTTCGGGCCCTCGCCACCGCCGGGAAGCCCCGCCACCTCGGTGGCCGCCACCGCTCCAACATATGGAAACTCCCCGTTCTCCGCGCCCCCCAGCACCGTCACCCCCAGCTCGCCCTGAGGTCCCCGCTTCACGGTGCATTCGTGAACCCTGCTAGTCCAGTGGTTCTTTTTCTGGATCACTTTCGACATGATGAGTTGAAACCCCTCCTCCTCCAAAAAAAAAAAAAAGAAAATAATAAGAGTAAAAATGAGACAGGTGCCCCCCACAGCACGAGCCCCCAAGTCTCCTCGGGTTCATAGGAGAAACATCTCTCCCCCAAATCACTCCGCGGGAGAGCCCCTGGGCAGCCTCGCGCCCCTGCACACCCTCGCGCACTCAAGCCATCATCATAAAACAAACTTTCTGGGCTCCTCCGCGAGCCCTGCACAGGCGCCCGCGAGCTTTGTTTGCATTCCGGTGCCTCTCGGTCCACGTTCCGGCGCCCGATCGCGCTCTCCCGGGCCAGAGTCCACTCTGCGCCTCTCCGAGGATTTTTTTTTTTTTCCCTTCCTCTCTTCCTTTCTTTCTTGCCTTTTTAGAAAACGCGGCGCCTCCTCTTTGCTTCCCGCCCGGCTCGCCACTCCTCGCTGGCGGGCTGTTCCAGAGGACGAGGGAAGCCCTTCCAGCCAGT